CATATGTAAATGTCGACTTACGTTCCCGCAGAAATCAAGAGTTTTCCTGATGAAGGCTAGGCTGTTTCGGTCGAAAAGTTCAGGATCAAATGTAAAGTTCCAGAGATTGAATGTGAAATTTGTAGCCAATCCATCTGTGGGGAAAAAAAAAAAGAAGATCACATTTTTCAACCATGAATTTCCTGTAAATTAAAAAGGAATGAATATATATTATAATGGCCACCGTAGATTTCTTTTAGGAATGGCAAATGGGGTTCTAAAGATGCTGAGGATACTGAAATGCTATGTAATATCAATTCACTTATATGACAGTGAATGCTGGACAATTTCCTCAAAGATGAAGAGGAGACTTGAAGCAAGAGGAACAAAGAAAAGAGTGCTGAACTGCTATGTAATATCAATTCACTTATATGGCAGTGAATGCTGGACAATTTCCTCAAAGATGAAGAGGAGACTTGAAGCAAGAGAAACAAAGAAAAGAATGCTGAAATGCTATGTAATATCAGTTCACTTATATGGCAGTGAATGCTGGACAATTTCCTCAAAGATGAAGAGGAGACTTGAAGCAAGAGGAACAAAGAAAAGAGTGCTGAACTGCTATGTAATATCAATTCACTTATATGGCAGTGAATGCTGGACAATTTCCTCAAAGATGAAGAGGAGACTTGAAGCAAGAGAAACAAAGAAATGAGTGCTGAACTGCTATGTAGTATCCATTCTATTAGGGAAGTGAATGCTAAACAAATACAACGTAAAAATGAAGATATTTGCTAAACAGAAATGGGGTTCAACAGGATTATGCTGAGAATACCATAGACAGAGCATGTAAACAAAGTGGAAGTTTTAAAGAATCTGAAAACAAATAGGAAAATTATAAATAAAAGCGGAAAGAGACATTTGAAATATCAAAGACACATAACAAGGACACATAATGGTTCGAAAAACTCACACACACACACACACACACACACACACACACACACACACACACACACAAAATATATATATATATATATATATATATATATATATTATAGGATTTACTGAAAGCATGAGGATCAGAGGAAAACAGAAAGTAACCTCTATAACGAGCATACGAGAATGGATGAGAGAAGGTGAATTGGGAGGGATAGTAAAAAACAAACATTGCTAAAAATTACAAGGGGAAGGTGTAGAGAGCCATGATCGACCATATCATGAAGGGACACGGTAACTAGAGGAAGACAAAGAAGAAAGTCTCTTTCCAGTTGTCCGTCCACTTATATTAAAGAAGCGAACGCTCTGGAGATATTCGAAATCGTTTGATCTCTCCTAAAGAGTTCGAAAAGTCTACATAAACCCCCACCAAAAAACAAAATATTATAATATCGAATATTACCTCCGAGTAATGACCAGTCGGGTGTGGTCATCTCTGTTGTGGTTGTCGGCATCGGTGTTGTCCAGTCCGAAACATTGGCTGCATGAAGACTGACCAGAGAACTGTTGAGCCAAATAATCGTCTGTCCGATTTGCCTGAGGTCGACACCTTTGGTGGCGTTAGTCTTGGGAGCGTGCTGTCTGATGGTATCTTCCACCATTTGTGGCAAGACGGCAGCGTCTTCAGTGCCGAGGAAGATGAGAACAACCCTCAAAGAGGAAGAGTCTTTGCTGGAAATTAAGGAATAAAAATAAAAAGATTTGTATCAAGAAGAAAATTAAATTGTATAAGAAAATTAAACTGACATCACCGGACAAAAAGTTTTAGAAAAAATAAAAGTGCATTTGAATTAAGATCTATTTAGCAGATTGCCTGTTCGTTTAGAATAGCGGTTATCGGCGCAGAAAATGTGATTGGGGCATTGAGTTCTTATTCCAACCGATGCATTCGCTTTCGTAGAAACACCTTTGGGGAGGTATGACTTTATCTCTTTTCCCTCCAAGCATGGATTAACGCGCAGGGAAAACAGTAATAACTTGAGTATGCAACTGCTCTCGAAGTAATCAACTATGAATACTGTTTTGCGTTTTATCAGCATGGCTGATGCTAACCTCCAGGAGATTGACTCATCGCACCTTATCGGTCTAATCTTTTTCACGAATATGAAGTGGGAAAATTATGTTGAATCAATTGCAAGGTCTTCTTCAAGGAAACCTGGTTCGCTTTGTCGTGCAACGCAATCTCTTACACATTTGTAAGTAGAGCATTATTTATGTATTTATTTATTTATGCATTTATTTATTTAATGTTATTTATTTATTTTATTTATTATTTTATTTAAATATTTATTTATGTATATATTTATTTTATTTTATTTTTTATTTTATTGTATTTATTTATTTTATTTTATTTATTATTTTATTGTATTTATTTATGCATTTATCATTTTATTTTATCTATTTATTTATGTATTTATTTATTTTATTTTATTTATTATTTTATTGTATTTATTTATGTATTTATCATTTTATTTTATTTATTTATGTATTTATTTATTTTATTTATTATTTTATTGTATTTATTTTATTTATTATTCTATTGTATTTAGTTTTTATTTTATTTTATTTATTATTTTATTGTATTTATTTATTTATGTATTTATCATTTTATTTTATTTATTTATTTATGTATTTATTTATTATTTTATTGTATTTATTTTATTTATTATTCTATTGTATTTATTTATTTTATTTTATTTATTATTTTATTGTATTTATTTTATTTATTATTCTATTGTATTTATTTATTTTATTTTATTTATTTATTTATGTATTTATTTATGCATTTATTTTATTATTTTATTTTATCTATTATTTTATTTATTATTTTAACTTTTATTTTATTTATTTATGTATTTATTTATTTATCTACTTATTTTTTGTTTTATTTATTATTTATTTATTAATGATTAATTAATTTATTTATTTTTATTTATTTTTTATTTATTATTTATTTATTAATGATTAATTTATTTATTCATTCATTCATTTATTAATATGTTTATTTATTTATTAAGTATAACATTCTTTACTTATTTATAAATCAGATTGATGCGTTGAGTTGAAAATCCAGCCGAAATCTTTGCATTTGCTTTCGCAGAAATACCTTTATCTATTCTCCCTCTAACCATGACTTATCGAGCAGGGAAATCTGAGTTCTGGCCTTGGTTGGTAACCCGTCTCGGAGAAATTAACTATGAATACGAAATCAAATACGTGTGAGAGGGGGCAACTCATTCCGTAAAATTCCTGCACTTATTTTTTAACCCTCTTAGTGAACCGATTTTGCTAAGTCCACGACATTTACCCTTGTATCTTATCGGACTAATCTTTTTCGCTGAAATGAAATGGAAAGATTATATAGAATCAATTACTAAGTCTGCTACTAGGAAAACCTGTTTTCTGTGTAGTGCTAGACAATTTTATTTTCGTCAGAATCTACCTCACACGTTTATGAATATACCATTTGTTCTTGACGTGATTTGATTTGTTTGTTTAACGGCATATCAATACCTTATGGGTCATTTAATGCCGAAAGTTAATTTTCTTTGCGACTTTGAACTAATGAAAATGATATATGTTATTCTGCTTTTACAGGTGAGTCGTACGATTTTTGAATCAAGCACGGGCAACGCGGGGCCATGCTGCTAGTCTGGAATATATTTGTGAGGTGTCTCTGGAGAAAAAAAAATTGCTGTCCTTCATATCATTAAATACGGAAGCAAATATATCATTGCTTTGAATTAGACATATTTAACAACGTTTAAATGGCATGCAAAAATTTAAAAAAAAAACGCAAAAGAGAAAGACAGTATTCATAACGAAGTACGATTTCGGAACGCCTTTATAATAACGGAAAATATATTTAGACACAGTTTAGAATAAAACTTCGATATATATATCTAACTTACTCAAATTGGGAAATATCGCATCCTGCATATCGATAATTCAAGGCATCCAGCGCCATAATAGTTTTCATCTGAAAAAAAAAAAAAAAATAAACTAAAATAAAAATTGGTTATTATAGGTGGGTGGTAACTAATAATATTTACATTTCAATTACGTTTTATTTTCTTAATAAAAGCATTAACTCTTTCTAATAAATTTGGAAAATAATTTAACTAAATCTTACATTCTCACAGAAATCAAGATTTTTCCTGATGAAGGCCGGACTGTTCCGATCGAAGAGTTTCGGATCGAATGTAAAGTTCCAAAGATTGAAAGTGAAATTTGTAGCCAATGCATCTGGAAAAAAGAAAATATATTTTATAAATCCAATAATAATTATTCTTTTTTTTTCTGTTTATTTCTCGAGGATTGTGCGTACCACCGAGTGAAATATTCTTACTTATCATTTTAAGGAAAATAGGACATTATAAAAACACGCAATCATACTTAAAATTGTAATATTACTTATTATAAAACGCAGATTGTGTGTGTGTGTGTGTGTGTGTGTGTGTGTGTGTGTGTGTGTGTACGTTTATATATTGGATCGGATTTCCTACATTTTTCAACTGATTTCAACAAAACTTCACAGGACTATGTAGAATTACCTTGCAGTGGTTCTGACAGCGCCAAAAATTGGAAAAACAGAATTGTTTTTGCACGAAATCAATTTGAAAACACGATAAAACCCGATTCTGTCGCCAGAATGAAAGGGGGACAACTCATATCGAGTTATACTTATTATAAAACCCAGGTTGTTTGTTTGTGTGTGTGTGTGTGTGTGTGTGTGTGTGTGTGTGTGTGTGTGTGTGTGTGTGTGTTCGTTTATATATGGGATCGGATTTCCTACATTTTTCAACCGATTTCAACAAAACTTCACTTTTTTTTGGCAGGTAGTGTTTCTTATTGTCTTGCACACTTTTTTCTTTATTTTTACATTCAGAATGCTTTAAAAATTCCATTTACAAGACAATTGTTTATAATAAAATTCGGTAACGATTGAAAACAATGTTTTTGTTTGCGTTTGGGTTTGACCAATTCGTAAAAAAACAAAAAACAAAACAAAAAAACTAATTAAGACATGCGTGTCCGTCAACCTTAAACAATAATCTTTGTCAATTTTATTTTTCAGTCTTTATGATGGTCGATACTTGATCTATCTCTTTACTGTTACATCCCCGGGCTCTACTGCTAGTCTTTAATAAAATAATGGCAACCATAATTAAAAGCATAACTATCGGTTTATTCTTTCATTCAAGAAATATGTTGAATATCTATTGTTATTGAAAGGTAAGACCAACCCCTGGAAGATGAACTCTAGGAACACAGTACCAACTTTCTTCGCCACTTATTGATTGGTCAGTTTATATTTTCGGCAGCAATGATTGAAAGCAAGAAATAAATATACTGCCCAATGCTTCCCAGCGGTCATCGATAGAAGGTCCATATCTTACGACCAGTTAGTCGTAACGCGAGGAATAGGTCCAAGGGTAGAGCCCTTGGGACAACCACATGTACAAAAAAAGACCCAGAAGAGTGGCCGTTCAAGACGGCATTCATTGATCGATTTGATAAGAAAGCGTGAATCAGATCAAAAATTCGTCGAGAGAAAGTTATTTATAATAACAAGTCGTTCCGCCAAGCAGCGACTTATCTGAATCAAAAACAAACTAATTATTATAATATCGTAGAGAACGATGGTCGTCCATATCCTGAAGGGACAGGTTACCAAGAAGAAAACAAAGAAGACATTCTCTTTACAATTGTCTGCCTCCTTATATTAAAGAAGCGAAAGTCCTGGAGATAATCAAAATATTTTGATCTGTCCTAAAGAGCTCAAACAGTCAAGATAAAAAAAAACCCCAAAAAACAAAAAAAATTTACTAAATATTATAATATTGTGTCTTACCTCCGAGTAGTGACCAGTCGGGTGTGATCATCTCTGTTGTGGTTGTCGGCATCGGTGTTGTCCAGTCTGAAACATTGGCAGCATGAAGACTGACCAAGGAACTGTTGAGCCAAATAATCGTCTGTCCGATTTGTCTGAGGTCTTCACTTTTGCTAGCGTTAGTCTTGGGGGCGTGTTGTCTGATCGTATCTTCCACCATTTGTGGCAAAACGGCAGCGTCTTCAGTGCCGTGGAAGATGAGGACCACCCTCAAAGAGGAAGAGTCTTTGCTGGAAATTAAGGAATAAAAAAAAAAGGATTTATATTAACATAGAAGAAAGTTAAAATGGCGTAACCACGGACAAATTTTTTGGAAGAAAAAATAAAAGTGCATTTGAATTAAGAAGACCATTTTGGCGGATTGTCTTTGCCTGTAGAATAGCGGTCACCAGCGCAGAAAACGTGCGTTGAGTGAAAACCCAACCGAAATCTTGGCATCCTCTTTCACGGTAATATCTTTGGAAATGTATGACTTTATATCTTTTTCCTCCAATCATAGGTTAACGCGCAGGGAAAACTTAGTTCTAGCCTTGGTTGGCAACCAGTCTAGGAGAAATCAGCTATGAATACAAGAGAAAATATATGTGAGAGAGTAAACTCCACCACGTAATATAGCTGTTATTTTTTTCGTCGTCTTAGCTGTTTTGCCTTTTATCAGTATAGCTGATGCTAACCTCTGTGAGATTGACTCATTGTATCTTCTCATGCTGACATTTCCGACTGGCATGAAGTGAAAAGATTATATTGAGTTAACTGGTGGGTTTGCTTCAAGGAAATCTAGTTCACTGTGTTGTACTAGAAATATTTTCTCTTCAGAATCTATCTCACATATTTATAAATATACGTTTCGTCCGTGCTTCGAATATTGTTGTCATAGATCGTCTGCTGCTCCGGCTGTATATTTTAATTTTTTCGACAAAATCCAAAGAGTCCGCAGTGTTATCGGTACTGCTCTGGCATATCGACTTCAGTCACTTTCCCACTGCCGTCACCTGACTTCTCGGTCTTTTCTAGAAATATGTCCACGGCAATTGTTTAATAAGCTTTCAATCTTGGGGCGTGATCAAGCATCAAGACTTATTTGTCAAACTCTCTGCCTCCGGGCAGAGAGGAACCCAGACGAGGCTATGCCGAAGGACATAGTCTCGTCTGGGGAGATAGACAAACCAGACCCCGTTATTATGGGGTCTGCGGTGAATTTTTGCCCAAGCTTACGGGCTCGGAATCGCACCACAAAAATTCAGCCTTTTGCCATACCCTGCCTCGTGGTGGGGTAAATACTGATTTTCATTCTTGGTATCTCGACCGTGAGAATTTAAGCCACACTTAGATTGGAAATTAGGTGTCATTGTTTTACTTTTAAATTAGTTAGATATAACCGGAAGTTCTATGCTAATAGTTCATTTTCTCGAACTTCTCGCCTGTGAAACTCCCTTCCGGTCTCTTGCTTTCCAGCCAGCTATCGTGTTCATAAATTTAAATGAAACGTCAATCGATATTTTCTTTTGTACTGAGGCTGTTCTTTTTCGTGTACTTTCTCCACGCAAACATCATCTTATTCTCTTTCACGTCCAGTAAATCTTTGCGTCTTAGTGGAATTATCGCCTTTTATGGTGAAATGATTAAAAACACCGGAAAAAGCGATGACAGTGGACGTTAGATCGCTATGCTCCTGGAAAATTGTTTTAAGACGCGATTTTTTTTAAATTTTATATCGTCAGTTGTACTAACTGTTCGGTCAATGAGAGTCGAATGTTTCCTTATAAGGAAAGGGCAAATATTACATATATTATATGTATTGTATAGTAATATTAGAAAATATTTTAGAAAATATTTATGTAATAATAAAGAATATATCTTTAATAATTATAGGGAATTGGACTCGAGACAAATATTAATTAATATTAATTAACAGTATTAATATATTAATAATATTAATAGTATTCATAAGGGTAACAATTAAAATGCGTGATTCCTCGATATCGTAGATAAAATCTGGAATATATTAGTGAGATGTTTTAGGAGAAAAATTTAGTGTCTGACATATCATTAAATACGGAAGCAAATACATCATTGCTTTGAATTAAATATTTTTACCAAAGTTTAAATGGAAAAAAAAACACAAAACAAAAAAACCCGGAAGAGCAGGATGTCAGAACGCCATTAAAAATCACGCAAAATTTGTTTAGACACCATTTAGAATAAATCTTCGATTCATATAACTTACTCAAATTGCGAAATATCGCATCCTGCATATCGACCACTCAAAGCATCTATGTCCATAATAGTCTTCATCTGTAAAAAAAAAAAAAGATTTTATTAAATAAGATAGGTATTAAAAAAAATATAAATATGAGATAACTAATAATATTTAATTTTCAAGTATGTCGTATTTTCTTAAGAAAAGTATTAAATCTTTTTAAATTTATTCGGAAATAATTTAAATAATACTTACGTTCTCACAGAAATCAAGAGTTTTCCTGATGAAGGCTGGACTGTTTTGATCGAAGAGTTTCGGATCGAATGTAAAGTTCCAAAGATTGAAAGTGAAATTTGTAGCCAATCCATCTGGAGAAAAAAGCAACGAAATTATTTTATAAATCTAATAATAATATTTCTATATTTTTTCTTATTTATTGTCTCGGATTTTTGGTACCGCCTAAAATATTCTTACTTAATATCCTAAGTAAAATATGACATTATCAAAAATATGTAAACAAGATCTAAATTGTAAACTTTAATACAATAATATTAATTATAATTAAAAGGTACGTTTTTTTTTTCAAATTATTAGTCATTTCTCTCATTCAAGAACTATTTTGAATTTCAGGTGTGGCTTAATCATATGACGTAAAGGACTCCTGCGAGATGAGCTCTAAGAACAGAACGCCGACTTTCACCAACATTTATTGATCGGCAACTTTATATTTTAGGCAGCAATGATTAATACACTGTCCAATGCTTTCCGGCGGTTAACCTTAGAAGTGGCGTATTTTAATAACGCGTGTAATAGGTCCAAAGATAGAACCCCAGTGAATACCTGCATTGATACAAAAAGATCTAGAAGAGTGGCCATTCAAGATAACATTCATTGTGCAATATTTGGTTGAACCAGATCAAAAATTCGTCTAAAAAAAGGCATTTTTATTAACGAATCTTACCTCCAAGTTGTGACCAATCTGGTGTCGTCATCTCTGTTGTAGTTGTCGGCATCGGTGTTGTCCAATCAGAAACATTGGCGGCATGAAGACTGACCAGCGAACTGTTGAGCCAAATAATCGTCTGTCCGATTTGTCTGAGGTCTTCACCTTTGCTAGCGTTAGACTTGGGAGCGTGCTGTCTGATCGTATCTTCCACCATTTGTGGCAAAACGGCAGCATCTTCAGTGCCGTGGAAGATGAGAACAACTCTCACAGAAGAGGAGTCTTTGCTGTAAATTAAGGAATCAATATAGAAGTAAATTAAATTGACTTAACCACGCACAAGAATTTAGGAAAAAAAAACAAAGCTCTGTGGAATTAAGAAAACCGATTTGGCAGATTGTCTTTGCGAGTACAATAGAGGTTATCGGGGCCTAAATGTCATTTGTGCCTTCAATTCAAAATCCAGCCTATTCATTCGCTATTGCAGAAATAGCTTTGGAAAACTTGACTTTATCTCTTTTCTCTCCAACTATGGGTTAAAGCGCAGGGAAAACTGAGTTCTATCATTGGTTAGCAACAAGTTTGGGAGAAAATACCTATGAATACAAAAGCGTGAGTGGGGCAACTTCACCACGTAAAATACCTGTTCTTTTTTAATCGTCTTAGAGAATCTGTTTTGCCATCCATCAATATGGTTGATGCTCCCCCAGAACATTGACTCAATGCCACTTTTCAGGATGAACTTTCCCGTTGGTTTGACGTGGAACTATTATATTGGATCAACCTTGTTCCATGTGCTGTACTATATTATTTTCACGTCAGAATCTATATTACACATTTATATATATATATATATATATATATATATATATATATATATATATATGTGTGTGTGTGTATTTGTGTGTGTGTATTTAGGCAGCAATCCTTCTTTCATACACATTTCATTAAATGCGACGCACAAGGTGGTTTGATTTTTTTTATACAATTTCTCATGCGATCTAATAATTTTCTTCTTTTCAGATGATAAATTCTATAAAAACTGTCCGTATGTTTTTTTTCCGAGCGCTTTCGGCTATACATTTAGCCATTTTCAAGGATGAAATATTTTAGCTGTCAAATAAGGAATGGCTTGTTGCATGTCTGTTTTTATATAATGTTTTCATTTTTCAAAACACGGTCAAGATATTGTGTCCATGTTCATAGTTAATATTATTAAGTGTTATTTTTGTTTGGTTTTTATTAATAAGGCTTCCATTATTTTTAGCCTTTTTTTGCATGTAGATGGTGCTATTATATTTGTGTCGTCCACAAGAATGTTACAAATAGTGTCCGGTAGGTCATCTTGAGTATTTAAATGAGACCTAATTGAGCTTTGGTCAGAGGGGGTGTAGAGTGAGTCCTCGTGTCAAACATGTTGTAGTATGGACTATATAATTATTTACGAATTTTGATTGATCAGGAGTACAATTTCTTAACTAACTAAATCAAAAGCAACTTGTCTGTCGTTTTCAATGAAATGTGCATATATATATATATATATATATATATATATATATATATATATAATTCAAATTTAATTAGAAAACTATAATCTTAAGGGTCTATTGATTATAATTTATTTCTCCAGATATACGGTTTTTACCTGGTTCATCAAATTCCACTTCCTAGGGTGAAAAAAAAAATTGTTTTTCACCCTTGGAAGTGGGGTCTGATGAACCATGTAAAAACCATATACATGGGGAAATAAATTCTAATCGATTCACCCTTAAGGTTGTCTGTTTTCTAATTAAATTGAATTAATAAGAAACTCTACTTTGACATTGAGCTCTCTGGATTACATCCTCCTTGGGATTATCCATACGGATTTACCAAACTTTTCATTACCTAACTATATATATATATATATATATATATATATATATATATATATATATATATATATGCGTCGAATATTTCTGTCATATCCGGTTTGTTGCTACGGCTGTATATCTCGAGAAAACCCAAAGGATGTGTTGCACCGGCCTCTAACACAAGGGAATTACACCGGTTCTCACTATATATAGTGCCAGTAATACCTACCCGGTGTAAGCAGCGACAGTACTACAACTGCCTAGCTGAGTAGTACCCGTTTCCTACCTTTGTATATGTGATGTTAAATACACTTGTTCCTTAAACCAACTTCGACTTGATTTTCTTATTTCTACTATTGTGCCACGACACAACAGAATGATCGGCCATATAATCGGTCCTAACCTGGCATATCGTCTTCAATCACTTACTCACCGCCGACCCGTCTTTCCCTCTGTCTTTTTTTAGAAATATTTACATGACAATTATTCTAATCATTTCGCCTTCTTGAAACATCGACAGCATGAATTTCAGCGTACTACTAAATTGGCAACTAGGTGTCACCGTTTTACTGTTGAACTAGCTAGATGAACCGTAAGTTCTATTCTTATAGATTCTTCTCTCGCACTTCTTGCCTGTGAAACTTTCTTCCGGTTCCTTGCCATTATCTTCAAAACATTAAATGCAACGTCAATCTATATTTCCAGTCTTCTGTGCTTTTATTGTCATTTTTTTTCATTAACGTCTTTCTCTATCACTCCCAGTAACCCCTTTTCATCTTAGTGACATTATCGCCTTGCTTTGGTGAAATGATTAAAAATACCGGGAAAAGTAATCACAAATGCCTTCTATATTCTTAAAAAAATGTTTTAAGTGAAGAATTTTATAAATTTCAACCGACATTGGTCATAATATTCCAAAACATTTTAGGAATTTTTTATGTAATATAAGAGGATATATTTTTTATTATTATAGTATTAGAAAGTTAGACTGTACAAATACTGGTATTAACAGGGAGTAGGCGTTAACATTAACATACCTTATGTACCAACATCGTATATCTTACTTTTTATGTGCCGTGTCCTTTCAGGACGTAGACGATCATGGCTCTCCACTTTTCCCGTATCCCTTGCAGCTCTCAATAAGTTTTGTCCCTTTACTACTTCCCCGAGGCTATGTTCTACCTTCCACTTGCTTTAGCCTGCTAGGTATGTCATGAGTTGCTTTCCCTGGTCTCTTTTCCCCTCTATCCGCCCTGCGAGTATCAGATTTTCCAAGCCCTTCTTTCTCATTACGTGCTCCAGAAATTTCATCTGCCTCTTCTTGATGTTAAGTATAAACTTCCTCCTTTGCTCACGCTCTGTCCATGAAAGCAATGATACATTTGCTTCCATATTTAAAAATATGAAGGATACTAATGTTTTCGCCTAAGACATATAAATTATATTATATATAGAGATTTTATATACGATGATATCCTTAGTATCTTAAGGATATCATCTGTATATATAAAACAGGGGATGCCTGTGTCTCTCTGTGTGATACCATTTCACTGGAGATCCATCCAACCGATTTTGACCAATGCATACATACATTGTACAATGTAAGAGATAGGTGCTTAGCGTAAAAAAAAAACAAAAAACTTTAAAAATCAATAATCGGTAAAGCCGATGAAAAAAAAACGATAAATTCAACTTTCTTCCTCCGACTTCATTCAAACTCGGTATGTAGGTTACTTACATCTTGACGAGCTTATCGATACCTCATTTTTATTTCCACGCCCCTGCGTTTAGCGAAAAAGCGTGAAAAACAAAAAAATCTATTTCATCACAAATCGATTTCAACACAAATTCTAAGTTAAAATCTCCCTCAGTTTTTTAAGCAATCTAATACAAACTTCACTCAATTGTAGCCAACAATAAGTAGATTGTTTAAAAGTCATTTAACATCATAATAGAGTCAACTCATATCGTAGAAATCCGCGTACATAGCGAAAAATGGCGATTTTTTTTACTGGTTTCTCTATTATTTTTCGTTGATCTTTCTATCAATTTTCTTCAAACTTAACAATTGCATTATAAATGTATCCTCTTTTACATCCCTGGTAATACGCTGACAAATTGGATTTCAAAATCTCTAAAATAATTGTGGTCTGAAGTGGGTCTTTATGTTGTCTGTTTTATCCCTTCATGTCCTCGGCTAACTTCGATTGAATAAATACAGACTGCTTCTGTTATATCAGTAACTGCATTAATTCTAAATGCTTTTTGTAATGAAAGTACTTTAAATTAATTAAAGATAGACTAAACATCTAAACATGATGTTGTTTTTGCTCCATTCTAATTGAACGCTTTTCCTGATTGACTTGCTGGCTGTGTGTGCTAGTATATAATATAATTTATATGTCTGATGAGAAAAAATTAATATCCTTCATATTTTTAAATACGGAAGCAAATGTATCATTGCTTTAAATTAAGCATTTTTAACAAAGTTTAAATTGCAAACAGAAAATTCGCAAAAGAATTTACAAGTGCTTTAAAAATCACGGAGAATATGTTTAGATACAATTTAGAATAAAACTTCGATTCATATAACTTACTCAAATCGTGAAATATCGCATCCTGCATATCGACCACTCAAGGCATCCATGTCCATAATAGTCTTCATCTGTAAACAAAAAAAGATTTTATTAAATATGATAGATACTAAAAAAAAAATATAAGGAGATATAACTGATAATATTTAATTTTCAATTATGTCGTATTTTGTTAAGGAAAGTATTAAATTTTTTTATATTTATTCGGAAATAATTTAAATAATACTTACGTTCTCACAGAAATCAAGAGTTTTCCTGATGAAGGCTGGACTGTTTTGGTCGAAGAGTTTCGGATCGAATGTAAAGTTCCAAAGATTGAAAGTGAAATTTGTAGCCAATCCATCTGGAGAAAAAAAAGCAATGAAACTTAATATAAATCCAATAATAATATTTCTATTTTTTTTCTTATTTATTCCTTTTGGTACTGCCTACTAAAATATTCTTACGTAATATCCTAAGTAAAATATGACATTATCAAAAATATGTAAACAAGTTCAAAATTTTAATCTTTAATACAATAATATTAACTATAATTAATTTTTTTTTCTAAGTGTTAGTCATCTCTCTCATTCAAGAACTAATTTGAATTTCAGGTGTGACGTAATCATATGACAAGAACGACTCTTGTGAGATGAGCTCTAAGACCGGAACGCCAACTTTCACCAACACTTATTGATCTGTAACTTTATATTTTAGGCAGCAATGATTAAACGCAACAAATTTATACACTGTCCAGTGCTTTCCGGTGGTTAGAAGGGGCGTATCTTAATAATGCGAGTAATAGGTCCAAAGATAGAACATCGAGGAATACCCGCATTAATACAAAAAAGATCTAGAAGAGTGGCCATTCAAGACAACATTCATTGTGAAATGTGATAAGAAAGAGTGAACCAGATCAAAAATTCGTCTACAAAAAAGGCATTTTTATTAACGAATCTTACCTCCCAGTTGTGACCAATCTGGTGTGGTCATCTCTGTTGTGGTGGTCGGCATCGGTGTTGTCCAGTCGGAAACATTGGCTGCATGAAGACTGACCAGAGAACTGTTGAGCCAAATAATCGTCTGTCCGATTTGCCTGAGGTCTTCACCTTTGCTAGCATTAGACTTGGGGGCGTGCAGTCTGATCGTATCTTCCACCATTTGTGGCAAAACGGCAGCGTCTTCAGTGCCGAGGAAGATGAGAACAACTCTCACAGAAGAGGAGTCTTTGCTGGAAATTAAGGAATCAATATAGAAGTAAGTTAAATTGACTTAACTACGCACAAGTGTTTAGGAAAAAAAAACAAAAAAACAAAGCTCTGTTGAATTAAGAAATCCTATTTGGCAGATTGTATTTGCGTGTAGAATAGCGGTTATCTGTGCCTAAATGTCATTTGTGCCTTCAGTTCAAAATCCAGCCTATTCATTCGCTATTGCAGAAATAGGTTTGGAAAAGCTTGACTTTATCTCTTTTCCCTCCAACTATGGGTTAAGGCGCAGGGAAAACTGAGTTCTATCTTTGGTTATCAACCAGTCTGGGGGGAAATGAAGATCACCTTTACAGAAGATGTGTCCTTACTGGAATTAAGTAAAAATAGAAACACACATTTTAACTTCGCTGTCATGTACAGTCGATGGCTAAACTAGCAGACATCAGTCGACATTGATCCTGTTTTGAGTAAAAAAGGTGTTCTTAAGACAGAAATATAAGAAAAAAGCTAGTCTAAAGCCCGTAGTGATAGTTTCAGTTTATCCTAGCGTCTAAAAGAAAAACACTAGCTCCGGTTTATGCTCAAGTCAAAAAAGGTTGGCGTAGATCGGTTTATATTAAAATTTAAAAGTCAAATATCTGGTTCGGTTTAAACTATTCTCAGAAATGGTAGTAATACATTCGGTTTACGCTAGAGTGTATAAAACAATATCCAGGTTCGGTTTACACTCGAGTCAAAAAAGGTAGTCGTAGATTAGAATAGGCTCCACCGCTTTTCGCGGGAAAACAGATAGCGTAATGAAAAAGGCTACAAACTGAACAAAAATAAATTTTTATCGTCAAAATGTTTATGTTATTATTAAGATGAAAGACTAAAGTATTTTTAATTATTTTCTAAATTTTTTAATCCTTTCTAAAACGTTCAAAATTTTGGTTAAAGTCTTCTTTTGTTTACGTCATCGCGGTGGTAGAAAATAAATTTTTTTGCGCTTTTTTCCGTTGAAAAAATATTGATTTGGAAATTATTGTAAAAAATCAAGTATTTGTCCGATTTTAATGAGATTTTCATGACTTATTCACAAATTACTGAGATTATTTTTGAAATTTTTCTTTTTAGAAAATTTTGGTAAAAAATATTTTTTTTTAAATATGTTACTCCACAATTACTTAATTTCATGAAATTTTTTTTGGTTAAAAGTAGGAATCCTTGGAGATTGTAAATCACTTACTTTTTTTTTCAAAATATCCAACTGAAAATCTGCTCTGAATTGATAAATAATGAATCCAATAAAACTATGACATTAGTTAAGCAGCAAAAAAAAAGCTTTTAATTGCTTTTGTAAATAAGTAATATTAAGGACATTATTGTCTAAGGAAATAAATTTTTTCTGATGAATAATGAATTTTTACAAGAATTTTTTCATTTTTTTTTTAAATTTTAATTATTTCGCCTTCAAAAATATATTAGTGGTAATAGGATTTTCCTTCAAAAATGTATTGGTGCTAATAGGATTTTCCTTCCAAAAGGTATTTCTGGTAATATGTTTCTCCTTCCAAAAGGTATTGCTGAGAATATGTATTTGCTGAGAATATGTATTGCTGGTAATATGTTTCTCCTTCAAAAAGGTATTGCTGGTAATATGTTTCTCTCTCAAAAATGTATTGCTAGTAATATGTTTTTCCTTCAAAAATGTATTGCTGGTAAAATGTTTCTCCTTCAAAAATGTATTGCTGGTGATATTTTTTTCAAAAATGTATTGAAAGCAATAATTTTTCCTTCAAAAATTCTTTGCTCGTAGTAATTTTTAACAAACACGTATTGCTGGTATTAAAACCTATTTTTACACTTTCATAGTGTTTTGACGCCAGTTTGGGAGGGGTCAGCTATTTGTCCTTAGCTGGGACCCTAACAGGTGCTACCAGCCCGGGTCAAAGTAGACCTGGGAACACCAGCAATGAAGAGGTGTTTCCCCGCACCTCAAAACCTCCTGAACCTTAAAATAGCAAATGGAAAACATGCCAAAGAGAATTCTGTTGCCAATGACGTCGCAATTGTGAAATCAAGGAAAATATGTTGAGAAAGTTTAGAATAAATATCCAATGAATATTACTTACTTAAAGTTTGAAATATCGCATCCTGAAAATCGATCATTCAAAATATTCTTGTCCATGATATTTTTCATCTGAAACAAAATAATAAAATAAAATGGATTCTTGAAAAAAAAAAAAAAAAAACAGTATCGAAATGTGACATTTATATATAATTAATAAAATGATGTAATATTTGAAAATTATAAGAAAATATATATGGTAGGTAAGTGAGTTATCTCCCTTGGTCAGCTGCACTCTCTAGTGATCACGTATAGCGTATTTGCTTGTTTCATTACACCTTTTCAAACTAACCATTCACTAGCCAGAATATGTTGGCGCCAATTATCAAAGAACGCTATTCCCTTCGCTCTCTTTTCTGCCGGTATATGCAAGGGACAGGACGTTAAAATCGTCTCCGCTTCAATACCAGCATTTATGACATGAGATCCGTACTAATAATATTAGTATGTAAAACATTCAACTACAAAACCAAGGACTTCAGTTAAGTGGGCTTATATTGTTTCATTATATAATATATAGGCCCAAACAGAACAATTTGTTTGCAAGAAGAACTATTATTTCAAATTGTATTTGTATAAACGAATAATATTCCTTTAAACTTTCAATTTGTGTGTCTGTTTTCTTCCTGTAGTGATTAATATTTGCGGCCTAAATCGCCATAAAGTAGCTAATATTAAATCAGAAGGAGTCACGGTGGGGTAATGGATAGCCGCTCGGATTGAGGAATTGGAGAGCAGAGTTCGAATTCTAGTCAAATCCATTAAATCTTTGGGGTATTAGCATGTAAGTGAATGTAATGGATGTAAGAAGAAGAAGAGGATTCATACTTTGGGAAAGGTATGGATCCTCTTCTTCTCCCCTCCCCCAGCTATGGGTAAATAGCAGGACAGACCTTGGTCCATTTGTTTAGTCTAGGAGAAGGACAACTCTGGCGTTGTGCAGTCGGCTAACAACTTACTTAATTAAAAAATGAAAACTTGTTATAGAAAACCGCATTGAAATCATAGAATTGTTATTCAAAAAATTTAAATTATCCATATATTTTTATATATATATATATATATATATATATATATATATATATATATATATATATATATATATATATATATATATATTTTATTTTTTTTAAGCATTTCACCCCAAGCAAGGCGGGAAGCCACTAGGACGCAAGGGGTTACAGAAAATTTAGACCAAAAATCAGATAGGAGTGATAGAAGAAAGGATGAGGGTAGTGGATAGATCAAGGCAACTGGAGATGTCGATTGACATTACACTTGAATAGCTGGAGATTATAGCTCTCAGGGAAACTGGAATAGGGAAGGGAGTTCCACAGGCGAGAGGTGCGAGACATGAGCTATTGGGGTAGAAGAGACGGGTACATTTAGGAGTTTCGACAGTGAAGGGGTGAGAGCGGGATGCCAGCCTCGTAGGGCGCTTGAACTCATGACGTCTGGGAACCAGCGAATGCAGCTCCTCGCAGCAATTTCCATGAAAGTATTTGTAGAACAGACAGAGGGAGGCGACGGTGCGTCTGTGAGAAAGTGACTGTAGACGAGATGCCAGAGCAGGGCCAATTATATTACATATCCGCCTCTGGAGCTTATCAAGAACTCCGAGGCAAATAGAAGGGGCACCAGACCATATATGGCAGAAATGCTCCATGCAAGGGCGAATTGTTGATTTGTAGATCTGGAGGATCGATTTCGGATAGAAAAATTTCCTGGCGCACCTCAGGGAGCCAACTTATAACTGTTAATAAAAAATGTTAAATTATTTGGAAATAAGTTGATGAGGTTCACGAAACGCACGATAAAGATAGAGATGCGCAGACGCTCAAACCACCGACATGAGACAAATTATGTCACTGAACTATTGTAGCAGAAATATCGACTTACATTTTCACAAAAGTTTCCTGATGAAGGCCGAACGATTTCGATCGAAGAGTTAAGGATCCAATGTAAATTTCCAGAGATTGGTGGTTAAATTTCAAGCCAATCCATCTGAAAATCCTTTCAATATATTTATCTACTTCAAGCAAGAATCGGAGATAAAAAGGAATAAAGAGCTATTAAGTAAAAACTATATAATGAATTTAAATATATATATATATATATATATATATATATATATATATATATATATATATATATATATGTGTGTATGTGTGAAAATGTATATAAATATATATATAAATATATATATATGTATAATTATTTATATATTATATACGCAATACTTATTAGAAAGCGCTCAATATCAGAGATAGAGCTAATATATTTGGTTGGATAGATGTGAGTTTGTGACCCTGGGTTTTCACGCTTTAGCGATCGTCAGACAAACTGATTAGTGTTTTAAAAATTTGGGTTTATACACGCAATCTACATAAACCCAAAAATTTTTGAAAAACGAAAAAAAAATATTGTCAAACTCACATGATGATATAAAATATATATATATATTATATATAAATATAATATCAATAAGTTATATGGAGATAAGTTTTTGACACTTTGTTTATTTTCTTTTACCGATCATCAGACAAACTGGTTCCTTCAGGAAAAATTGGATCTATTCATGCTTGTTTGGCTATGTTTGTTGGCGGGAGGGGCAATATATTTCTGTATTTGTTTGGGGTTTTACTATCATACGCACAGACACATACATATAGGTGTACTTATTTTAGTTCGTACCAACACATCCATATAAGCAATTCGAGGCTAGATACAAATACATATCTGTACGTTCGGGCATACATATATACGCAGTAGTAATTCTATTTCGGTGTCAGGATCTTTCTTTTTATGTGTAGCGATGTCTGGTTCAACAAGAAGTTGGGGGGGTGTTCTTGACGCTTTTCAGATCTACCCCATTTTTTAACAAGGAAAGCACACACACACACTACACACACACACACACACACACACATACATATATATATATATATATATATATATATATATATATATATATATAAATGGACTGAAGTGTGGTATTCGACGTATTGGGGGTCAAGCAGCTCAGTTCCTAGGAACCGACATGTTTCATGTTTATACATTCTTTTTTATAAAAATGTTAAAAATAATTGTCGGACTTTGTCCATTTCATAATGTGTGACTTCATTTGTTTACATTTGGATACGCTTTGAGCAGATATGAGTGTACGTGAAAGATTCATGGAAGATTGTAGTTTAAAAGCAGTAAAATCGACCTTGCCAATCGAATGATTCTCCGTGGCTCGATCGGTTAAGGCACGTCAGGCCTTAACCGACGGTTCCGTATAGGATACAGGTTCGATTTTCTATGACAATTTCTCGGACATTCAGGGCGGTAAATGTTATTAATACTGTTTATTATAAACAGAGCATTTACTTAAATATTTGTATTTATAAAAAAAGAATGTATAAACATAAAAATGTCTTAAAATAATTGTCGGACTTTGTCCATTTCATAATATTACGTTGGTGCAAAAATAATGACGTAATAATGTCGTTTTTTTAACGTATATTTTAACGTCAAAAACGACATTATTACGTCATTATTTTTTTTTAATAATATATATATATATATATATATATATATATATATATATATATGTATGTATGCATGTATTTTGACAGGGGCACAGTCCTATCTGTAAGGGAAACAGATGAGTGCCACCATGGAATATGTGATCGAGCGGCGCTCAGAGAGTCTAATTCGCTACCTCTTCGTGCAGTTGGTATAACGTTTGCCTGATAACGTAACTGCCCGGGTTTCCATTCTCGGTAGTGGATGCACACTGCTGATGAGTCCCAAATATAGGACGAAACGGCCGTCCAGTGCTTTCTGCATTCTGTTGAGGTTTATTCTAGTCTCGATGAATTTATATATATTATATATATATATATATATATATATATATATATATATATATATATATATCATATCATCATTATATTTAATTATATATATATATATATATGAATATATATTATATATATATATATATATATATATATCTTTTATAATATAATAATGTAATATGTTTTAATATTTAGGTAATTAATAATAATATATAACGACTTGGAATATCAACGAAAATTAATAAAATAGGTAGCATGAAAAGTAGAAAATATATATAAAAAACCAAGATAGAAATGAGAATAAAAGTAATTTAGCAAGAACAATGAACAAATCGGTTTTGATAAATGAAAAAGAAATGCACTTGATTCGTAAGAAAACGTCAAGTGTTGACAGTTTTCAACAAACAATGATGTTAGAGTTAACATGAGGAGAATAATTAATTAAATACCAGTTCCAAATGGAATCATTTTACAGAGATGTCAGGATGGAAAACAATAAATTCAACAGATTTATGGCAAGAATACTGAACTATGGCCAAACGAATTTTCGCCATAATGAATGAAGTTTACATGAAAAATTTTCCCTGGAAATTTTGTAAATGGGGGAAAAAAGGCGAGAAAGCTGTAGTTGAAATTATGTCGAATTTGTGAATTGCAAGATGACATTTGGAACCATATTTTTTTTTAATTAGTCTTCGAGCGAATGCTGGAGGTGACAGGCACAGAAGAGCGCTCAAGGAACGAGGAGGGACTGCCTGCACCCACTGACGTGTAGCAGGCACAGACGAGACATTAAGGAGGTTGAAGGAGCTGTCCCCACCCACTAGCACTGGTGGGAAATGGTAATAAGAGAAAGTAGCAGTAACCAGGCGGAGCGATGCCTGTACCTATCGCCCATAAGAGAAGGAGAATTCCCCCAAATTATGAAGTAATTTAATCTCTCTTGTTGGAAATCAAGGGATTCACCGAAACCCAAACTACATCTTGCCTCACACCGGTTTCTAGTTGGAGTCCGTAAATATGAATGCGCGAAAGCCAGTTGAGAGCTGAGAAGAAGTGCCGGAGGTCGCTGAGAGATTCCACAACTCCTACTGAACACAAGAACCTCCGACTTCCGCTTCGAGCCAAACTTACCAAATCAGTAAAACAAATTTCGCTAACTTCGCAAGCCAAAACCTTGCAGCTTACCCAATTGTTGCGTCCCATTTAGGAACGGGTTGGGTCGACAAACACCTGTAGGCGAACACAACTACTAACGAACAATTGTACGCAGTATTGATATAAAAATAGTAATTATTTTTTATATATATTTCAAGTGCTGTTTTTTATCCAATTTTATTGTACGACTTCGCTCAATTTGGATCAACCCAACACGAAGATACCTGCGATGAATCGATTTTGGACTCTCAAAATCAATCAATCAGAAACTTAGGGTAAGGCAGGTCAGGATCGAAGAGATCACTCCATTAATCAAACCAGGATCCACCCCGAGCTGACCACGACGAAAGGGTTACATTTATTGCCGTGAACCAGGATCGACCCTGAAAGGTTACGTTTGTTGCCGTGAACCAGGATCGACCCTGAAAGGCTACGTTTGTTGCCGTGAACCAGGATCGACCCTGAAAGGCTACGTTTGTTGCCGTGAACCAGGATCGACCCTGAAAGGCTACGTTTGTTGCCGTGAACCAGGATCGACCCCGAAAAGCTACGTTTGTTGCCATGAACCAGGATCGACCCTGAAAGGCTACGTTTGTTGCCGTGAACCAGGATCGACCCTGAAAGGTTAGGTTTGTTGCTGTAAACCAGGGTCGATTTTGCCGTGAATCAGGATCGAAGCTGAACTGTTACAAGAAGACTAATATTTAGATAATTAACAAATAAATTAACAAATAAACTTTAACATTTTTTATCGAAATCTTGAACTTACATTCTCACAGAAATCAAGATTTTTCCTGATGAATGCTGGATTGTTTCGGTCGAAGAGTTCAGGATCGAATGTAAAGTTCCAGAGAATGAAAGTGAAATTTGTAGCCAATCCATCTGGAAAAAAAAGAACAAAATTATTTTGCAAATCCAATAATAATCAATTCAAACATGATTTCTTAAAATAAAAGTAGAAAGGAAATTATGGTATAATAGGAATCATAGATTTCTTTTAAGAATTACATATGTCGGAACGTACTGACAAGTCAAAAGAAATCTGACATATTTTCCGATTGTTGGTAAATTCTTTTATGCAGAAAATATTTTGAATTTCTCATCATCACCATCATCAGTCCTATGACCTGGCGTGGTGGTAGGTCCGGTGCGCAGCTGAATAATTGACTAGTTTCCGCCATACTTATTAACCATAAACTTATTTTCGTTTGTAGATCAGGTTTAGTTTATTTTGTTTTACGGCATATCAAGCTCAATAGTTTCTTGTGATTCATGACAAGCTAGGCAGAAAATTTTCCCACAAAAGGCTGCCATTTCTTTCTGTGATAGATTAGTTGTCAAGCAAGTTATACGACCCAGTCTGTCCTGCTATTTAATCCATAGGTGATGGGTAGTGATTGATTCAGAACTTTCGTTACAGTATTTGAGCGTAAATGACTAATGAACCCGGCTGGAATTCGAACCCGGCTCTCCAATATCTCATTCCGAGCCATTATCTATTACACTACGACACCGATTCTCATATCTGAGTAGTGATGCGAAAATATATATATAAAAAATGTCGCTAGTTTGAAAGGATATCGACATGAGGTAATTCCACGAATTTCAATGTCAATATGGTGACCTTCATTTACAAAAATGTGTACAATAACTTTATAATATCGAGTCTTACCTCCGAGTAGTGACCAGTCGGGCGTGGTCAGCTCTGTTGTGGTGGTCGGCATCGGTGTTGTCCAGTCCGAAACATTGGCGGCATGAAGACTGACCAGAGAACTGTTGAGCCAAATAATCGTCTGTCCGATTTGTCTGAGGTCGACACCTTTGCTGGCGTTAGACTTGGGAGCGTGTTGTCTGATCGTATCTTCCACCATCTGTGGCAAATTAGCAGCGTCATCAGTGCCGCGGAAGATGAAGATGACTCTCACTGAGTACGGGTCCTTGCTGGAAATATTTCAGACAAAACACAAATGAGTCAGGTTAAAATACTAACAATTCTTCAATATTATTAACCACTTAATACAAGGCTTCAGAATCGGACGAGTTATTGAATAGGGTTTTTGTTAGATTGTTATGAGTAGGAGGCAAAAAGTGCAATTATAAAAATAGGGAGGACAGATAAAGGGTTGACCCTAGACTTTGAGAAGACAGTGATCGGATTAATTGATTGTTTCGTTTTTTTACGGCTTATCAACCCTTTGCAGGTTATTTAAAGCCAGAAAATATTTTTAGGTTGTAAGATTTATTTTCCGAAATAGTAAAGGTTTAATGATACAATATTTACTAATTAACCCATAGCTGGGAGGAAAAGATGTGGATTCATACCTAATAAGAATTTGATAAACAAACAACAACAAAAAATCTAATGTAGATATAAAGTGATGGATGAATTCTATATTACAATCAATATATAAACTGATCACTCAATTTATGACCATGTTAGTTTCTATACATTTATATTCCAGAGAATGTAAATAAATCTAAAAGACAAGCCTGTGTAGCTAATCAGGATTTAATAGATAAACAAGAAGTAATAATATGGATATAAAGTGGGGGATCAGTTCTATATCACAATCAATATATAAACTGATCCCTCACTTTGTGACCACGGTAATTTCTATACATTTATATTCCAGAGAATACAAATAAATAGTCCTGACCTGGCATCTCGGCTTCAGTCACTTTCCTACCGACCTAATGTAGCTTCCCTGTGACTTTTCTTTAAATCTTTTCATGGTCATTTTTCAGATGAACATTCCATTATGGTGCCTAGACTTTATGAATTTAAGTTCAGTACCCAACCAGTGCTTAACTCTTTACAGTTGAAATGGCTAAACTGAACCGTAAGTTCTATGCTAACAGTTTCTTTTCTCTCATTTCTCGCTCGTGGAACTCTCTTCCGGCTCCTCGCAATGTCAATCGCTATCTACTGTCATCCCGATTACTCTTTTTTTTTTTATTTGTTTCCGCTTCTTCATAATATCTTCTCTTTTCTATAAGTCTACCAGCTTAGAAGATTGCTGCCAGATATGGTCCGGTGCTCCTGCTATATATTTAGAGATTCAATGACAAGTACCACTGGTCAATGGTGAAGGCGAGCACCAATGGAAAAATCTGACGTCTTTTCGTGACCGATTGTTGGCTGAAATGTTGTTTCACTTACGCAAGCCCGTCAGGTAAGTGGCTCACTTCCTTACCCTCATCTATATTGCTCTCACTATGCCTTGTGAGGGTTAAGTTTTCCAAGCCGTCTTTCCTCATTATGTGTCCAAGGAATTTCAGCTATCTTTCCCTAATTCTGCATATAACAAATGCTAAAAGAAATATCAGTCAATTATTAATAATGGCTGACAATGTATCATATAATAAAAAATTGATGATAATATTGCTACTACTACTAATAGTAGAAATAAAGCAAATGAAATGAAGATGAAAGAAATGCTTCTCCAAAGACAGAAAGAGATAATTATGGTTAAGAACTCATAGAAATTCCCAAATAATCAAAACGAATCTGAACAGAAGCATGAAATTTTCAAAGAAAAAAAAAAAAGAAGCAAAAATGACTGTATAAACGACTCTATTTGGAAGCCGGCTTGAAATGAAGGCTCCGTATTATGTTCTGAGAATGGGAATCGTAAATCCATAGTGTGCCATTAATTTTCAAAGTTTATTACTTACTCAAAGTGGACAATGTCACATCCAGAAAATCGGTCGCTCAAAGCATCTTGGTGCATAATAATCTTCATCTGAAAAAGACAAATTGATGTATTTGCAAAAAAAAATAGTAAGATACGTTATATATATATATATATATATATATATATATATATATATATATATGTATGTATGCATGCGTGTGTGTGTAAATATATAGAAAATAGGAAATTAAACCAACGTTTTTTTAGTATTTTTGTTATTATTTTAAAAAAACAATTCGATAAATATTAGGTTGGTGCAAAAATAATGACGTAATAATGCCGTTTTGGTACGTATTTTTTAACGTCAAAAAACGACATCATTACGTCATTATTTTTACACCAACCTAATATATAAAGATTGTTTTATATATATATATATATATATATATTGTGTGTGTGTGTGTGTGTGTGTGTGTGTGTGTGTGTGTGTGTGTGTGTGTGTTTAAACGAATAACATTTAAATAATTAAAAATAAATTAAGAAATAAACTTTAACATTTTTATTGGAAACAATGAACTTACATTCTCGCAGAAATCAAGATTTTTGCTGATGAAGGCCGGGTTGTTTCGATCGAAAAATTCAGAATTGAATGTAATGTTCCAGAGATTAAAAGTGAAATTTGTGGCCAATCCATCTGGTGGAAAGAAAGAAGAAAATCATTATTTTATAAATTTGCTTCTGATGCTTCCTTTCATTTTTCTTATATTTGAATTTCTGGTGTCAAATTGAACAATTCCTGTTCCAATCATATGTGCATCTCATTTATGGAGCTAATATCTCTTGATATTAAACGCTAAAATTCAGTAAAATGCAAGGAAGAATATTTTCCATAAGAATTGTCAAATCTTTGTTGGTTTTCCTCGAAAAAAAAAAACCCCCAAAAAAAACAACTTTTTTCGAATTTTATGGTCATCTATTCAAAATGGCGTAACCGTCCAGTTTAACGTGAAATTTTAGCAAGAATGACATAAATCAGGAGAGGTGGACTGGCCACATTATCAATGACATGACACAAACGTATGTCAAACAAGTTAAGTTATTTATTTATTTACTGTTACTATAGAACTTAAGGTAAATATCTAGCCGATTCAACTGAATTGATGAGACCTAGTTGTCAATCTAGTACTGCACTTAAAGTCTCGGAATCATAGAGAAAAGTTTATCTGAACAATTACCATGAAATTATTTATAGAAAAGGCACAAGGGAGCAACATTACGACGGTGGGAAAGTGACTGAAGCTGAGATGCCATGTCAGGACCAATAACATTGCAGATTCTTCTTTGGATTTTACCAAAGGGTGTCTAAATATACAACAGGAATATCAGACCATATGTAGTAGCAATATTTAAATTATGGACAACGGCGACAAAGAAGAAGAAATGTAGAAGAAGAAAAAGAAGAAAAGTAGAAGAAGAAGAAAAATAAAAAGGAAAGGAGGAGAAGAAGAAAAAAAAAGGAGGATAAGTAGTAGTAGTAGGAGGAGAAGGGACCTTCACAACTGACTGGATTATTAAAGTGAAAATTAAATGGACCTATTCGAAATAGGTTGATCTGTCCCAGGCCCTACGAACAGTGGAAATAAAAAAAAATAATCTAAATATGATGATATCGAGTCTTACCTCCGAGTAGTGACCAGTCGGGCGTGGTCATCTCTGTTGTAGTGGTCGGCATCGGTGTTGTCCAGTCCGAAACATTGGCTGCATGAAGACTGACCAGAGAACTGTTGAGCCAAATAATCGTCTGTCCGATTTGTCTGAGGTCGTCACCTTTGGTTGGACTAGTTTTGGGAGCGTGCTGTCTGATGGTATCTTCCACCATCAGTGGTAAATCTCCAGCCTCGTCAGTGCCGCGGAAGATGAAGGCGACCCTAACAGAAGACGTGTCTTTGCTGAATAAAAAAAAAGGAAATGTACGAGGTTAAAATGAATAAATTATTTTATGTCGGTAAGATCACAAATGGCCATTGCCAAAAAATACAGGTAACGACCTTAGCAGTATGAATCTTTGTTAGAAAAAAATAGTGATGGTTAACAAACTCACCCGCAAAAAAATCAATGGATCAAAAAGTCGGTTTTAATCTGGCGCTATCATATCACGATATACACCCTCGGCCATTATTATCGTTTGGAAAAGCTATTTTTCGAATTTTAAGACCCAAACACATGAATCTGGATTTATGGATTTTAATTTTGTCAGGCCTAGTATGATCACCGGATTTAAGCAGCGTCGAGCTTGGTCACTAACTAGATGGGTGACCATTTGGGAATACCAGGTGCTGTAAGCTTGGATGTGCGGGTAGAATGGTTCGGATTTGATAATCGAAAAGACGAGTTCCAATGCCGTTAGGTTCGTTATATTCACTTACTGGCAAATGCTCTTGAGAACGGTAAGAATCCAACTCTTCTCCCTCCAGCTATGGGTTAATTAGTACGACTAATATCAATAAATCATTATTATCTCAACAAAAAAATTTTACAATCTAAAAATATTTTCTGGCTTTAAATAACCTGCAAAGGGTTGATAAACCGTAGAAAACGAATCAATCAATCAAATCCTGATTAGCTACACAGGCATATCTTTTAGATTTATTTACATTCTCTGGAATATAAATGTATATAAATTAACGTGGTCACAAAGTGAGTGATCAGTTTATATATTGATTGTGATATAGAATTGATCCCCCACTTTATATCCACATTATAATTTCTTGTTTGTTTATCGGATACTGATTTTGTACACAGGCAGGTCTTTTAGATTTATTTACATTCTTTGGAATATAAATTTATAGCAAATAAAGTGAGTGATCAGTTTATATATTGAGTATCATATAGAATTGATCCCCCACTTTATATCCAAGTTATAATTTCTTGTGTGATTATCAAATTTTTATTAAGTATGAATCCACCTCTTCTCCCCCAGTTATAGATTAATTAGAAAGATTTTTATCACTAAATCATTATCATCTTCAAAAAATTTATTACAACCGAAAAATATTTTCTGGCTTTAAATAACCTACAAAATGTTGATAAGCCGCGTTTTGCGTGAAAAATAAATCAATCAATCATTGGTCCTAAAACTTCTGGATGTGAGCAATTTTCAGAAAAAGATTCATGTCCAGTTCATGGCATTCTCATTTATCCTTCATATAAAGAACTTTTTTAAGCAGTTAATCCCAAATTTTTTAAAGAACATTCTTCATCTGTGACTTGAAATTGTCCAGCTTTCACTGCCATATAGGAGGATTCACAACAAGCTCTTAAACAGATAGAAGTTCAGCACTTTTTTCTTTGTTTCTCTTGCTTCAAGTCTCCTCTTCATCTGTGTCTGAAATTGTCCATCATTCACTGCCATATAGGAGGATTGATATTACATAGCAGTTCAGCACTCTTTTCTTTGTTTCTCTTGCTTTAAGTCTCCTCTTCATCTGTGAGGAAATTGTCCATCATTCACTGCCATATAGGAGGATTGATATTACATAGCAAGTTCACTTTTTTCTTTGTTTTCTCTTGCTAAAGTCTCCTCTTCATCTGTGAGGAAATTGTTCATTCACTGCCATATAGGAGGATTGATATTACATAGCAGTTCTTAACTGTAAATTCATTTTGTTTCTCTTGCTTCAAGTCTCCTCTTCATCTGTGAGGAAATTGTCCAGCATTCACTGCCATATAGGAGGATTGATATTACATAGCAGTTCAGCACATTTTTTTTTCTTTGTTTTCTCAGCTTCTAAGTTCCCCTTCATCTGTGAGGAAATTGTCCATCATTCACTGCCATATAGGAGGATTGATATTACATAGCAGTTCAGCACTCTTTTCTTTTGTTTCTCTTGCTTCAAGTCTCCTCTTCATCTGTGAGGAAATTGTCCATCATTCACTGCCATATAGGAGGATTGATATTACATAGCAGTTCAGCACTCTTTTCTTTGTTTCTCTTGTTTCAAGTCTCCTCTTCATCTGTGAGGAAATTGTCCAGCATTCACTGCCATATAGGAGGATTGATATTACATAGCAGTTCAGCACTCTTTTCTTTGTTTCTCTTGCTTCAAGTCTCTCTTCATCTGTGAGGAAATTGTCCAGCATTCACTGCTATATAGGAGGATTGATATTACATTGCAGTTCAGCACTCTTTTCTTTGTTTCTCTTGCTTCAAGTCTCCTCTTCATCTGTGAGGAAATCTGTCCAGCATTCACTGCCATATAGGAGGATTGATATTACATAGCAGTTCAGCACTCTTTTCTTTTGTTTCTATTGCTTCAAGTCTTCCTCTTCATCTGTGAGGAAATTGTCCATCATTCACTGCCATATAGGAGGATTGATATTACATAGCAGTTCAGCACTCTTTTCTTTGTTTCTCTTGCTTCAAGTCTCCTCTTCATCTGTGAGGAAATTGTCCAGCATTCACTGCCATATAGGAGGATTGATATTACATAGCAGTTCAGCACTCTTTTCTTTGTTTCTCTTGCTTCAAGTCTCCTCTTCATCTGTGAGGAAATTGTCCAGCATTCACTGCCATATAGGAGGATTGATATTACATAGCAGTTCAGCACTTTTCTTTTCTTTGTTTCTCTTGCTTCAAGTCTCCTCTTCATCTGTGAGGAAATTGTCCAGCATTCACTGCCATATAGGAGGATTGATATTACATAGCAGTTCAGCACTCTTTTCTTTGTTTCTCTTGCTTCAAGTCTCCTCTTCATCTGTGAGGAAATTGTCCAGCATTCACTGCCATATAGGAGGATTGATATTACATAGCAGTTCAGCACTCTTTTCTTTGTTTCTCTTGCTTCAAGTCTCCTCTTCATCTGTGAGGAAATTGTCCAGCATTCACTGCCATATAGGAGGATTGATATTACATAGCAGTTCAGCACTCTTTTTTTGTTTCTCTTTGCTTCAAGTCTTCTCTTCATCTGTGAGGAAATTGTCCAGCATTCACTGCCATATAGGAGGATTGATATTACATAGCAGTTCAGCACTCTTTTCTTTTGTTTCTCTTGCTTCAAGTCTCCTCTTCATCTGTGAGGAATTGTCCAGCATTCACTGCCATATAGGAGGATTGATATTACATAGCAGTTCAGCACTCTTTTCTTTTGTTTCTCTTGCCTTCAAGTCTCCTCTTCATCTTTGAGAAATTGTCCAGCATGAATCATATAGGAGGATTGATATTACATAGCAGTTCAGCACTCTTTTTTTTGTTTCTCTTGCTTCAAGTCTTCTCTTCATCTGTGAGGAAATTGTCCATCATTCACTGCCATATAGGAGGATTGATATTACATAGCAGTTCAGCACTCTTTCTTTGTTTCTCTCTTCAAGTCTCCTCTTCATCTGTGAGGAAATTGTCCAGCATTCACTGCCATATAGGAGGATTGATATTACATAGCAGTTCAGCACTCTTTTCTTTGTTTCTCTTGCTTCAAGTCTTCTCTCATCTGTGAGAAATTGTCCAGCATTCACTGCCATATAGGAGGATTGATATTACATAGCAGTTCAGCACTCTTTTTTTGTTTCCTCTTGTTTCAAGTCTCCTCTTCATCTGTGAGGAAATTGTCCATCATTCACTGCCATATAGGAGGATTGATATTACATAGCAGTTCGCACTCTTTTTCTTTGTTTCTCTTGCTTCAAGTCTCCTCTTCATCTGTGAGGAAATTGTCCCATTCATGCCATATAGGAGGATTGATATTACATCTTCACTCTTTTCTTTTTTTTCTCAGCTTCAAGAGTTCTTCATTGAGGAAATTGTCCATCATTCACCCATAGGAGGATTGATATTACATAGCAGTTCAGCACTCTTTCTTTGTTTATAATGAACATCTGTGAGGTATGTCAAACTCTGCATATAGTTCACTTTGCTTTGTTTTCTGGAATAATTCAAACCACAACCATTATATAGGAGGAATTACATATTTTCCACCTTTTTATTTCCCAGTTCAATAACAAGAATCAATCAATCTTTGATATCCATTACTTACTCAAATTGTGAAATATCACATCCCGCATATCGATCGCTCAAAAGTTCTTGGTCGAATATATTCCTCATCTGTAAAGAAAATTGATTTTAAAAAAAATTAATAACTGACAAAGATTATGAAATATAACTTGCTTCAAGTGTTCTTCATTTGCAAATTTCCAAACTGCCATTTAGGAGGATTTTACACCAACTCATTACATATTTTATAAATAGTAGCAGACATCAGTTTATGTGGCGAGATAAACAGCCATTTTTCTTTTGTTTGGTAAAAAATTCAGTCGTTTGGAGTATTTGTGGACCAATTTCTCGAAAGTCACAAACTTGGGTTTTTTTAAGGTGGGCTTTAAAAAACCCGAGACACAATAGTCCAATAGTGTTTTTGTTGTGAATTTCCCCGGAGAATTTTTATTAAGTTATTTTTTAATCATTTATAAGATATCTTGGTTCAAAGTTTTAATTCTAAATTTCGACTGTTCCACGATTTAGACAATTTTATATGCCTTTGAGACCAGAAGATATATATATAGCCAAGGAATATATATATATATATATATAAAAAAATATTGTATATCCCAGTTCAATAACAATATCAATCAATATTTGATATATAAATGAAATATCACATATATATATCCAAAATCTTGGTCGAATATATTCTATGTAAATATATTTAAAAAATTAATAACTGACAAAGATTATGAAATATAACATGGGAAAATTATAAAATAAAATTTTAATAAATTTTTTCCACAATTTTGTAAATTCAACACTTTTATGTGTCGAGATAACGCATATCTTTGTTTGGCTATAGTCGTTTTAGTCAAAATGGAGTGTTCGTCGAATTTTATAATGGAAAATTTTTTATAATTTTCCAATAAAAAACTGGAGAAACAAGTTATGTTTAATATTTTAAGATATCTGGTT